TCTGTAACTGTTGTCGGCTTTGGGGCCGAAGTTCTCGTTCCCCTGAGACAGAGCAAAGCCGAAGGAAGGAGAGAGAAGGACAGTCGACATCTCATCCAGGCTGTAACATAACTTCTGGGCTGCTGCTTCTGTTCGGATATCACCTCCGCGAGTCTGGCGTAGAAGCAACTTGCACTTGGTCCCATCCCACCAGAGGTTGTGTACACTAGAGGAGTAAAGCTGCCTTGATCAACGTTCTGAATTCTCTCCCCGTATCCCCTTAACTTGTCGTTCTCGCTCCTCCTGTGTGCAGCATCGAGAGCTAAGTTACGGTGACATGCAGCCATGGGATAAAAAATCCTGATGGCGAAGAAGGCTCGGTGTCCCGCGTCCTGAATCCTCGAGCACTGACGTCCACACGGGCTTCATTGGATGTGTTTGAAGTCCTATGTTGGAAAAATCTCACGGTCCAATGGAAGGAGGGTCGGTTCTACCCTGACATCACGGCAGACTTCTTTTAACATATTTGCTGTGAGATCCCATACTTTTTCATGCCTCATACATACGAAGCCCCCTTTCTTGCACACCATGGCGTGATCGGCGTCATAGGAAGAGCCACACACGCATTGGGAGGGCAAACCTTCCACTGGCCTACCGTACCTTAGAGCATTGGTATCTGTAAATTCTTGTTTATTAAGACTGAAACCATTTGCCCTTATCGGTAACATAGTTAACCAGTTCGAGGCGCCCACCTCCTGCGCTATAGCTACTTTTTTTAAAAATTCTCTGGTACTTGCAACAACAGTTGCTGCAACTTATCACTTTGGCTGTGCTGTCATTCTGTCGTAATGGACCTTCGAATCTTGTTTACTTCACTGGTATCCACCTCCCCTGTTGCGTTCTGAGCCATTATGTGGTCCGTGAGGGCTGCCGTAAGATTAACTGAGCTTTGATGTTCGGTGGCAGCAATCTCCTCTGGATTGGTCAATCCCATACCTTCCAGTCTCGGCGGTAGTGCAAGGAGTGATCTTTCTGCTGGGGTTAAGTGAGGGTGTTTCACTAATTTGGGAATAAAATTGACGCTGATAGCTTCTTCCAGAGGGTGGAGGAGGGGACCAATATCAGGGATAGTGCGCATCAGGTAGTTCCAATGATACCTTGACTTCATGGGTGAGTGCCGCAAAAGCCGCATGTGGCTCTGTGTTAGCAATCTCAGACAGAGCTTGGATTTCCCTAACCCACTCATTCACCTTTCCCGCTACGTACTCGGTCTTGAAGTCCGGCGTGCCTATTACTGCGCCTAGGTGTCTTTGGCCTTCCTTTGTTATTTTGACCTCACTTCCGCCAAACACCTCCATTGCCCGTTCATAATGGTCTGGCTTCACAATGAGGAAGGACTTGCTGGCATTTGGGTGGTACCCTATTTGTGGACCACGCGATGTTACCAGGTCCCACCACTTTTTAATGTCCTCCACTTTTCCTGCTCCTATAAGGTCGTCAGCATACGCCACTTGTTTGACCTCAATTGTTTCAAATTTTATTGTGTGTTGGAGCACGGATAGGCCTATTGCATTCATTGCCATTGCAACAGCGTCCCCCTGCTTTGTTCCTTCGGTTGACTGTATGATGGTATCACCTCTTAGAGCCTTTTTGTTTACTATATAGAGGCCTCACAATCACGCTGCTCAAATATCGTTCTAATGGCGTGAATGACAGCTTCCCCTCCAGCCTGGTGGCCAGCACAAACTTGCAAGTCCCTGCTGCTTCCCTGACATCATCCTTTACCACCCCCATTAAGCATTTTCCGATGGTGCGCCTCAGCACTTCCCTACCCCTATAAGACTACATCCTGCATTCGTATCCAGGGGAATGAGGCGGCAGGCTGTCAGAGCATGGAGGTGATGGCAGAACGAGGATGCCAGCTTTCTTGCAAGGATGGCACTGGCAGTACAGAGATCACTTGCTACAGGGCCAAACTTGTTAGTGCTGAGGATGACTCTCCAACCGTTTGCATCCAGGCTTGAAGGTCCAGCACCTCCCATGTCTTCAGTGCCTTTTTCCACGCCATCCCTCCTGTTATTTTCTCGAACAGGACAGCATTTGGTGGGATATAGTCACCCTGGAACCTGATGCCTTCGTCTTCACTTGCAGGGGGATGTTTTTCTTTCAGTTGTTTTAATGTCTCTCTGTTTATTGGCAGAACCCCACCGGAGGATTCCTCTGTGAGAGAGCTTACCGCCGAGGACACTTTTCTCACACGCATTTTGTTTCCAAACTTTCTTGCACCGTCATCGATGTTTTGCTTTCCGTCACCTGTCAATTTTAGTCTCTCCTGCAGTGTTCTTGCTTTACATAGGATTTCCTCAAGGGCCCCATTCTGCCGCATTGTCAATCTTCTCTTCATTGCTGCAGCATTTTCTTTGTGCTTAGTTTTTGTGCGTGTCCTCTGACAGTAGTTAACCATTTCGAGGCGCCCACATCCTGTGCTATAGCTACTTTTTTTTCTTCAAATTCTCTGGTACTTGCAGAATCAGTTGCTGCAACTTATCACTTTGGCCATGCTGTCGTTCTGTCATAATGAACCTTCAAATCTTGTTTACTTCACTGGTATCTACCTCCCCTGTTGCGTTCTGAGCTATTACGTGGTCATTAAGGATTGCCGTGAGCTTAACTGAGTTTTGATGTTCGGTGGCAGCAATCTCCTCTGGATTGATCTATCCCATTCCTCCTAGTATCGGTGGTAGTGCAAGGAGTGATCTTTCTGCTGTGGCTAAGTGAAGGTGTTTCACTAGTTCGGGAATGAAATTGACGCTGATAGCTTATTGCACAGGCCAACCGGCCTATTGCAGACTCCTTATTTTTTTATGTTCTTATATTGATCAAATGGATTGCTAAACCAAATTTACAATTCCCATCCAGTACCTAAAAACAGAAATAATTATCAATGGTGGTTTTAATGAATTCCTTCCAAGGCTTTGTTTGTTTGATAGATAAAAATGATTTATCAATGAAAGGATATTTTCGAAATACATATTTTTACATTTTCGTGAACATTTTCTTGAAGCTGATATCATATTAACCTTCCATGCGTTTCAAAAAAATCCAAGACTACGAATACATGGATTTTGCCACCAAAATGAAGTCTCTATCTCGATTAGAAACTGAGATTTGGCTGTGTGCCAGCTTGGCACACTGTTAATATATAATTAGTAGGACTTAATCTACCAGAAACAACAATAAAACATTCTATATGTCTCAAAATTAGGTACCGTGCTCTGCCACCGGACTACTGGGTATAAGCTGGCCTTGGCCAGATATCAACCCGGGGGTTAATCTGGCTTTGGCTGTTTAGCACTCCCTCGGGCCAGAATACCACATCTTTGGTGTTACCTGCTGAAACTGTATATCAAAGTGCACAAAATAATATGACTTTTTAAACTAATACTTCCTTATAATTCTTCTTCTTATTATCATTATGATTTCTTCTCATAAATCCTTATTATTATCTTATTACATTCTAATTTCCTCAACTTTAGCCACCCAGGGGGAACACCTGAACTTTAACCATCCAAGGGGAACACCTGAACTTTAGCCACCCAGGGGGAACACCTGAACTTTAACCATCCAAGGGGAACACCTGAACTTTAGCCACCCAGGGGGAACACCTGAGCTTTAAACACCCCGGGGAACAATTGAATTTTACCTACCCCTTCGATCAAGTGAACTTTAGGCACCCTGGCGATTTAACTGAACTTTTGGCACCTCGGGTGGATCAATTGAACTTTAGGCACTCCGATGGATGAAGTGAACCTTAGGCACCTGGGGGTGATCAACTGAACTTTAAGTTGCGTTGGGATAGGTTGGGTTGGGTTGGGGTAAGTTAAGCTAGGTTAAATTAGGTTTTTAACTCGAGTCACTCTAAGGCGTCTCATCGAGGGAATAATAAAAATCAGTAATAATAATGATATGTAATAATAATTATTAGGAAATAATAAATTGGGAAGTAATATTAGTAAGTACAATTTAAATAAATTTTCAGCAGTGACACTGAAGAGGGTGTACTGTATTCTGGCCTGGGGGAGGGTAAAACAGCCCAAGCCAGCTTATACCCGGGGTGTAAAGTGGCCAAGGAGTTAAGCTGGCCTGTTACACCTGTTAATACCTGGCAATCTTGGCCAATATATGCAATTATAAGCACAGTTATGTGCATTTAGAATTAGAATATTTACATCTGTTTTGTCACATACGTAAAATATCTTAATGTATTACCTAACCAACCGTGTCTTAGCTAACTCTTACCTTAACCTAAACTTAATCTATTACTAACCTGAAAATACATGAAAGTAATACTAGATTAAGGTTAAGCTAGGTAATGTTTGGTTAGATTATTTCGTATTTGCAAACAAAATGGATGTAAATATTGTATTCAGTAGCCCCCAAAACCATGGATACGAACTTTTCATGTACCCTAAACCGTTGCTCACAGCCTCATAGTAAGCTGTGCTTTTGCTGTGGCTCGCCTATAAAAAAATAACACAACCTAAACCGTCATGATTTAGAAGGATTATACAGTAGATCTCTGTCTATAATCCTTCGTCAATTGTCGTCCGATTTTCATGCTGGAGTGTGCAATATGAAATATGATTCCTGAAGCTATTTATCACAGTAGCAAGCTGATAACTTTATAATACTGCTAAAATTCGTGAGCTAGACCGACCTGAGTATAATCTTAATATTGGAGCTTCATGCACTGAAATGGGGCGCTGTGCCTTCCTGCCCACAGTTTCTGAAGGTAAACAAACTGTCACGTGAAGCGTTCTAATACTGATGTTGCACATAATTTTTTCGCAGTAATTTGAAAACGAGATGATCAGTCTTTAGTACAGTACTTAACTACTACAGTTATAATCAATGTGTTTACCATCATTCACAGTCATTTTAGAAAAACTTTAACATATTTTAATATCAGATTTTGACATTCACCAAACCATGATTACCCAGACAACTCATATGTTACTCACTATAGGGGAAAGAAGTTGAGAACTGTGGGGAGAGACACGGCAGCCTGCAACCACCGCCAGTCACGAATTAGGTAAGCCATGGCACCCCACGCCATCGTGCCCAGTGCCCACGGTAAGCCTGTTAGGATGCCCACTGTGCCCCGATGCTTTGGCTCGCACACTTCCAACGCTGACAAAATAACACATTGTACAAATTACTGGATATATTTGAGGCAAGATACTATATAACTTTTCAAGAAATCATTTGAACTAATGAAAGTGTGGAAGACACACTCACACACAAGTTGGTAACGGGTAAAAACAAAATAGGGGAACAAGTTTTTCCTTGTTTGAGGACTGGCCAATGGATTTGTAGTTAGTTAATGTGACAGACAATTACGCCCACGTGAAAAAAAAAGTGTTTTAGTTACATTACAACTGATACATCTCACCATGGATAAAAAGAGAAAAGCTTAACGAAAAATTACTACAGCTTTGGTTGGGATGAAGACCCACTGCTGAATTCTCGTTCAAATAGGCCAAGATCTTCTTAAGCTCACCTGCAGGGAGTGTTATGAGAAATTATTGCATATATAATAAATAAGTACTTAGATTGGCTAAAGCAGAGAGAAATATAGGGGATTTAAATAATACGAAAAATACGATACTTTGAATAGGTACAGTAATTTGGGATGAAGAAAAAACAGCGGAAATAATGATCGGTGAAATTGAAGGTAGGAGGGACAGGGGAGGGGGAATGGGATCAACGAATGCAATTAAAAGTTTGATCCACGGAGACATAAAATCTGGGAGGGTTGATAATGACAAAATGAAAACGTTGGATCAGAGATCCCTGGTTGCCCACCCTCAGACATGAGGAGGACTTTGTTACTAAGTAACAACTGATTGCCTAGAGGAAGGAACTGTGGGTCTTGTCGAAAAGCAAAATATGTCATTAATATTAGTATAGAACACTGCCACCTTCTACACAATATTTATTTTCCCACTGATGACAAACTATTATGACGTAGCCTCGATAGCAGCAGATCGCCTCTCCTGACCAAGAACATTAAGAAGGTAAAAAGTTGCTTAAATCCACGAAAGAAACGGAATACAATAATGGTAAAAAGGTTGACAGAAGATGAGGAGGTTGTCAGTACTAGCCACGCATAAGAAAAATCGGGAAGGCTGCAATCACTAACCAAGGATGAAGAAGGTGAGGAGGTTGACGGATCCCATGATGAAGCGGACGATGAGGATGGCTATGAAGTTGGTGAGGAAACAGAGGCTTAGCGAGGTCAGTGCTGTCACCACCTGTGTCACCACCACCACGATTTTCCGCCCAAACCTTAGGAAGGAGCGTTATAGGATATGGTTTAAGAAAATTAATATTTAAGTCTCACAAGATGTCTATTGATCACGCCACGCCAACGTAAAAGTTGATCTAGGGTGAGAAGTGAGTTACTTTTACTTAAGGATTTTAAATTTCAAATACTTTAACTATTATATCAGTAAATTTATGGGTAGAATATCCTACCTTTAAGAACATTAGAACTAATAATGGATGAAATTGCAGCGGGCCTATTGGCCTTTAAACAATTTTCAATTACAATTACTCCACAAAAGTCCAATTACGTTATAATTACAATTACTCTTCCTAATTTTCAATTACAATTTCTGTATTTTTTTGTCTTAAATGGTTGTAACTGCTTACTGCTTGAAACAGTTATTTATGAAGAAATTCCCGCACCTACAGTGATTTATTTGCACATATATATATATATATATGTAATATTCAGGAATTTCAGAGTAATTTCAAATGCCCCGCCATTGGCGATACTGAGCTGTCAAGGTCGTCTGAGGGAAGAGAGCGCTCCCCTCACATAGTGGGAGGTTGTGGAACTAGGCCTATATGATATTAAATGTAATTTGCCGAATTAATAATGATGCGATTCATGAAGTTAAGGGACTATTATTGAATTTGAAATTATTCTAGATCGTTTATCAGTCTGAATAATGTTACGGGTGTCCCAAGGAGTTATTAGTTAGGCGGAAAATATGTCACGTAGGCCTAAGCTAACGCCTTGAGAGGACATGAGGCGGGCTCTCTCTCAGTCACGGGGAAGCATTCAGACAAACAAGACGTCCCTGCGCGTCCGTCACAGAAATAGTCACGTGGCCTAGTCACCTGTGTTGCACTATTGCAGTATAACAAGTAAGTCTCATTCGATCTCAGACAGGGTTAGATAGGGCAGTGGTAAAGTAAACTAGAGCTAACAGTGAGTTCATTTCAGGGTTTCCGCCAGAACCCACTTGACTGCGAGAAATTGACTGCGAGAGTGATGACCGCGGGAGATTGACTGCCGTTTGAGACTGCCGTTGATGATTGAGGGTGGCGATTGTCGCCATTGGACAGATCAGTGTAGGCCTGTCACTGTTTAGCGGGGTATCAAAGGATCTCTTGAGGGAATCTAGCAGTCTGGGTGCCCAGCTGACGACGGGACGATCGTTGGGGTCATCAGCTCTCCTCTACCTCGGCTCACAACACCACATGTCTCGAGCAGCTTAGTGAAACCCTCTTGCTAACGGGAAGCTAAAGCTTCTCTCAACTGTACAAGGTCTGATTGGCTCACTCCCTTCCGCTTTCATGGATGTACTGGGGGTAAAGTGAAGCTAGCTGAGTGATACAGGGCCGCACACTGGGGCCAAGAGTCAGTGGAGTTAGAGGTACACTTTCCAAGGTTGAGAAAGGCTGATTTGGGCCTTAAACTACGGGTGCCTGTTGGTTGTGCCTTAAACGACTACGGAGTGCAGGTGGAATCTGTGTGTGTGTTAGGTTAGGAAGCATGGTTCACGGGTATTGGTGGACCCAGTAACAAACCAATAATAGTGACAATATATTTGGGTGTAGTTAATACCATTTCTCAGTTACTGATATTATCTTGACGTGTGTAGTTTAATATTTCTTAAATAATTTTGATAGTATTGTTTTTTGAATGTTTGTGTCACTAAGTGGAACCAGAGTGATACTGTGATTTGATTCTTTTAATGCATCTAATTTTTCTTCATAATTCCGATCTCAGGTATAACCTTTGTTCCCCAGAGTAGTGGTTAAGTTAGGTTAGGAAGTGTGCATCTGTTGGGGTGATATAATTTTGTTGAGTGCCCTTAAGGCCTATTCATTGTAGAGTTATTAATTTCTTATTGTTGAATACCATTTTCTCAGTGCTGGATATTATTTTGTTGAAAGCCCTTAAGGCCTGTTTCATGTGTGCAAGCAACATTTCTTAATACTTCAAATTTATTGTTGCCTGAGTTTCTAATAATTTCTATATCATGTATAACTTTTATTCCCCGGAGTTGTGTTTTAAGTTCAAGTTAAGAGGTGCGCATATTGGTGTACCATTATTTGATTGTGTTTGTAGTGTTGGAGGGAATATAAGTGTCTAAATTTTACAGTGTGTCTCATTCATCCCAGTCACAGACGCTATCCTTCCACGGGTCACGGACAAGTCATTTTGTTTAGTAGATTTAAGTGCTCTTGTGCTGGTTCGGGATTTTTCTCAAAGGGGCGCTTCCACTGCCATTACCATCTAATAATCTTTAATAAACCCCAAGTCAAGTGAGAAAATAAAGTCCAGTAAATACCGACCGGTTACATATATATATACTTTCGGTTCTGTTAATTTGATTTGATTGCTATTTAAGATGTAGTTTGATTTATTTCTGGAGGTTCCCATTAGCTGTTTATTTTTGTGGTAATTAACTTCTGTGTTTGTTATTGGTTTTTGCCAGTTATTCACGTATGCTTCTTTGTACATGTTTCTTAGTTGTTCGTGTATGGTGTATTGTCTTCTGTATTCTGGCGTCCATCCTTGTTCTATGATTAATTTTAATAAATTACTGAATTGTGTCTGTAGAATTCCTGATTGATGTGAGTATTGAGGGTGAGGTAATGTACGGTGAGTGGTCATGGGTATGTGGTGTTCCATTGCTTGGCTCACGTTCTCGTACCATTTGTCTAGTGTGTTGTCTATTTGGGAAGTGTGTTTGTTGTGTAGTTGATTGTTTAACTCCTTTTTGAATTCCACCTAGTTGGACCGGCTGTAGCTGTATCTCATCCTGGCAGGGATCTGTATTGGAGACGTGGAAAGTGTGGCTGCGATAGGGAGATGGTCACTGGTTGTTATTGGGCCGGGTTCCAGTAGTAAGTTTGGATGTACGATTTGACCTGCTCTGATGTACTGTATGTGGGGGGAATTCTGGACCAAGGTTGAAGTGGGTCAATAGTGTGTTTGAGATCTACTCTGCGGCGTTGTTGTCTGGATGCCCTATTACGCAGCGCCTTGCATTTAGGTCATCCAGAAAGTAAGCTGGTGTAGTTCTTCTCACGAGTCTGTGCATATCTGCTAGTGGAAAAATGGGTCTACTTTTTTGGGGGGGGGGAGGGGGAGGGAGGGATAGCAGGTGCCGATTATGATTTGGTTCCGTTGAGTTGCTTATTTCGATGGCCAGAAAGTTTTCTTGGAATTAATCGTGACCGGTACCCCTTGTTTTATAGATATTGATGATGAAAGTATCTTTGAGATCTTGGGGGATTTCCTTCTGTTCACATGTATTTTCCAAGGGGGAGTGGAGACAGCTGGTCAGCAGAGGTCTCCGGCTGGTATTCTATGAGGACCTGTGGCTTTGTTATTTTTCATCTGCTTGATGGCAGAATAGGTACCTCATCACAGGACTGAGGATAGTCGAAGGGGGGTCAGCTTTGGGCTGGGTAGTCAGAACATCCAAATCGGTGTTTCGTCGACAAGGGAGTGTTAGTGCTTTTTTCAGCCCTGGAAGATGCCCTTTTCGTTTTTAATTAGGGAGTTACCGCTGGATGAGTGGAGTAATTGGGATGTTGATTGCTTTAGTAGAATTGAAAAATTCATGCACCTGGGGTTGATTCGCATTTTTTTTGCATTTCACGTATTTTTATTTCTTTCTTTTTTATAGTTTACAATTCGTTCTTCATTTCCCGGAGTTTGCGCTGGGCGGAAAGTATCAGCTTTGGTTTGAGACTGAGGATTGTTTTTCCAGTCAATGAAAGCAGCACGTTTACAAGAAAGGAGTACAGTACTTTGATTTCCTGACTATTTGCATCAAATACTGGTTTATCCTTCAGATTTGGCCGTGGGTCTCGGTTCAAGCTTTTGTGATGACAGCTTGTCGGTGCTCCATTCGGTTATTGGATTTAGAATGTTTATTGTTGGCCTGTTTATCAGGACCTAATCGAAATGCTATCTGAAAGCATGTTCTACTGTTTGTACCTCCAGTCACTTGGTGTTGAAAATGCTTCTGGAGGCTTGTTGCTTTCACCGTTTTAGGACGACATGAAGGGCTAGTTTGGATTTGACAATCCTCTGTCTGTGTCACAGTGGTCTTAGTCATGCATGGCTATGGTAATGAGGACATCTCAACGATGTCTTTTTTTGACAATAATATAGTTCATGAGATGCCAATGTTTGGATCGTGGTTGTTGCCATGAGCACTTGGTAACAATCACACACACACACACACACACACACACACACACTACTACTACTACTACTACTGTTACTACTCCTACTATTTTTTTCCTACCGTGGCCTCCAGCCTCCCCCAATAGCCACACCTTCGCTGCCAAATTATTACCTTAACATTAAATATCCTAATACATAAGTAGCTATCCTAACTGTGTTGAGTTAGTTGAGCCGAAGATCTATGTGGCATTCAGTGACTGTTGCCTCATAGTCAATATCTGTAACTGTTGTCGGCTTTGGGGCCGAAGTTCTCGTTTCCCTGAGGCAGAGCAAAGCCGAAGGAAGGAGAGAGAAGGACAGTCGACATCTCATCCAGGCTGTAACATAACGTCTGGGCTCCTGCTTCTGTTCAGATATCACCTCCGCGAGTCTGGCATAGTAGCAACTTGCACTTGGTCCCATCCCACCAGAGGTTGTGTACACTAGAGGAGTGAAGCTGCCTTGATCAACGTTCTGAATTCTCTCCCCGTATTCCCTTAACTTGTCGTTCTCGCTCCTTCTGTGTGCAGCATCGAGAGCTAAGTTACGGTGACATGCGGCCATGGGATAAAAAATCCTGATGTCGAAGAAGGCTCGGTGTCCCCGCGTCCTGAATCCCCAAGCACTGACGTCCACACGGGCTTCGTTGGATGTGTTTGAAGTCCTATGTTGGAAAAATCTCACCGTCCAATGGAAGGAGGGTCGGTTCTACCCTGACATCACTGCAGACTTCTTTTAACATATTTGCTGTGAGATCCCTTACTTCTTCATGCCTCATACATACGAAGCCCCCTTTCTTGCACATCAT